GCCTTCCTCAACCTCTCCCTCTCTCCTTGCTGGATCAAGGCATGGAAGACGTCACCGGGCTGTAGGTGTGTTGAACGCGGAGGTGCCGTCCATTCGGCACTAGGATCTCCGGTGATTTGGATCACGATGAGTACGACTCCTTCAACCCGTTCTCTTGAACGCTTCCGCTTAGCAATCTACAAGGGTATGTAGATGCACTCTCCTTCCCCTCGTTGCTAGATTACTCCATAGATAGATCTTGGTGACACATAGGAAAATTTTGAATTTCTGTTACGTTCCCCAACACTATTCTCCTCCACCTTGTTGGCAAAAGAACTTGTCAGAGGTCTCACACCTCTCAACACGGGCATGAGCCTGAAATCCCAATTTCAGCTCTTGGAACATCTCATATGTTCTATGGCATTCAAAACGTCATTGGAATCCCGATTCTAAGCCGTAAAGTATGGTGCACTAAACTATCAAGTAGTCATCAGGATGTGTCTGTCAGGTGTTCACAACATCCACGGACGACGTTGTAGGGGTTTGCACATCAAGCGGTGCATCAAAGACGTAAGCCTTCTGTGTAGCAGTGAGGACACTCCTCGGACTACGGACCTTGTCCGCATCATTGCTTACAATATCTTTCAACTTAATCTTTCTCTAGGAACGTATTGAAACAGGGAGCTACAACATGAGCTATTTATCTACAACATATTTGCAAAGACAATTTAGACTATGTTCATGATAATTGAGTTCATCTAATCAAATTATTTAATGAACTCCCACTCAGATAGACATCCCTCTAGTCATCTAAGTGAAACATGATCTGAATCAACTAGGCCGTGTCCGATCATCACATGAGACGGACTAGTCATCAACAGTGAACATCTCATGTTGATCGTATCTTCTATACGACTCATGTTCGACCTTTCGGTATTCCGTGTTCCGAGGCCATGTCTGCACATGCTAGGCTCCTCAAGTCAACCTAAGTGTTTCGCATGTGTCCCGAGGCCATGTCTGTACATGCTAGGCTCGTCAACACCCGTTGTATTCGAACGTTAGAATCTATCATACCCGATCATCACGTGGTGCTTCGAAACAACGAACCTTCGCAATGGTGCACAGTTAGGGGGAACACTTTTCTTGAAATTTTAGTGAGGGATCATCTTATTTAAGCTACCGTCGTTCTAAGCAAATAAGATGTAAAACATGATAAACATCACATGCAATCAAATAGTGACATGATATGGCCAATATCATTTTGCTCCTTTTGATCTCCATCTTCTGGGCTCCATGATCATCGTTGTCACCGGCATGACACCATGATCTCCATCATCGTGTCTTCTTGAAGTTGTCTCGTCATCTATTACTTCTACTACTATGGCTAACGCTTTAGCAATAAAGTAAAGTAATTACATGATGTTTATGTTGACACGCAGGTCATAAATAAATTAAGACAACTCCTATGGCTCCTGCCGGTTGTCATACTCATCGACATGCAAGTCGTGATTCCTATTACAAGAACATGATCAATCTCATACATCACATATATCATTCATCACATCCTTTTGGCCATATCACATCACAAGGCATATGCTGCAAAAACAAGTTAGACGTCCTCTAATTGTTGTTGCAAGTTTTTACGTGGCTGCTATAGGTTTCTAGCAATAACGTTTCTTACCTACGCGAAAACCACAACGTGATATGCCAATTTCTATTTACCCTTTATAAGGACCCTTTTCATCGAATCCGATCTGACTAAAGTGGGAGAGACAGACACCCGCTAGCCACCTTATGCAACTAGTGCATGTCAGTCGGTGGAACCAGTCTCACGTAAGAGTACGTGTAAGGTCGGCGATGCCGCCGAATCAAGATAAGTCTAGTAACGGCAAGTAAATTGACAAAATCGATGCCCACAACTGCTTTGTGTTCTACTCGTACATAGAAATTATGCATAGACCTAGCCCATGATGCCACTATTGGGGATCGTAGCAGAAATTTAAATTTTTCTACGCATCACCAAGATCAATCTATGGAGTAATCTAGCAACGAGGGGAAGGGGAGTGCATCTACATACCCTTGTAGATCGCTAAGCGGAAGCGTTGCAAGAACGCGGATGAAGGAGTCGTACTCATAGCGATTCAGATCGTGGTTGATTCTGATCTAAGCGCCGAACCACGGCGCCTCCGCGTTCAACACACGTGTAGCCAGATGACGTCTCCTATGCCTTGATCCTGCAAGGGGAGAAGGAGAGGTTGGGGAAGACTCCGTCCACCAGCAGCACGACGGCGTGGTGGTGGTGGAGGAGCGCGGAACTCCAGCAGTGCTTCGCCAAGCAATACGAGAGATGAGGAGGGAGAGAGGTAGGGCTGCGCCAAGAGGGAGATGATCTCGTGTATGTTGCAGCCCCCAATACCTCAAGTATATATAGGGGAAGGGGAAGGGCTGCGCCCCCATCTAGGGTTCCCTCCCTAGGGTGGCGGCAGCCCCAAAACCCATCTAGGTTGCGGCCAAGGGGGGAGAGAGAGGAGGCGCACCTACGGTGGGCCTTAAGGCCCATCTGCCCTAGGGTTTGCCCCCTTCCCCTCTAGGAGGCGCCTTGGGCCTTGGTGGGAGGCGCCCCAGCCCACCTAGGGGCTGGTCCCTTCCCACTATCGGCCCATGTAGGCCTCCGGGGCTGGTGGCCCCTCCCGGTGGACCCCCGGACCCCTCCGATGGTCCTGGTACACTACCGGTGATGCCCGGAACACTTCCCGTGGCCAAAACCATACTTCCTATATATTAATCTTTACCTCCGGACCATTCCGGAACTCCTCGTGACGTCCGGGATCTCATCCGGAACTCCGAACAACATTCGGTAACCGTGTACATACTTTCCCTATAACCCTAGCGTCATCGAACCTTAAGTGTGTAGACCCTACGGGTTCGGGAGTCATACAGACATGGCCGAGACAACTCTCCGGTCAATAACCAACAGCGGGATCTGGATACCCATGTTGGCTCCCACATGCTCCACGATGATCTCATCGGATGAACCACGATGTCAAGGATTTAATCAATCATGTATACAATTCCCTTTGTCTAGCGGTATAGTACTTGCCCGAGATTCGATCATCGGTATCCCGATACCTTGTTCAATCTCGTTACCAGCAAGTCTCTTTACTCGTTCCGTAACACATCATCCCGTGATCAACTCCTTGGTCACATTGTGCACATTATGTTGATGTCGTACTGAGTGGGCCCAGAGATACCTCTCCGTTTACACGGAGTGAAAAATCCCAGTCTCGATTCGTGCCAACCCAACAGACACTTTCAGAGATACCTGTAGTGTACCTTTATAGCCACCCAGTTACGTTGTGACGTTTGGCACACCCAAAGCACTCCTACGGTATTCGGGAGTTGCACAATCTCATGGTCTAAGGAAATGATATTTGACATTAGAAAAGCTTTAGCATACGAACTACACGATCTTTGTGCTAGGCTTAGGATTGGGTCTTGTCCATCACATCACTCTCCTAATGATGTGATCCCGTTATCAACGACATCCAATGTCCATGGTCAGGAAACCGTAACCATCTTATTGATCAATGAGCTAGTCAACTAGAGGCTTGCTAGGGACATGGTGTTGTCTATGTGTCCACACATGTATCTGAGTTTCCTATCAATACAATTCTAGCATGGATAATAAACGGTTATCATGAACAATGAAATATAATAATAACCAATTTATTATTGCCTCTAGGGCATATTTCCAACACCAAGGAAGGCGGCATTGATTCGCTCGGCACAGGATATGTCAAGTTGAATCCGGTAGTGAAGAGGTAGAGGGATAGGAGTTGGAGCTCGAGGACATGCTCATGTGACTAGGGGAGGCCTTTGGTCACGCATATAATGACCAAGGGCGTGCTCTGGCTAGACATGTTCATGTGGCTAGGGGAGGTTGAAGACGACACATTTAAGCAGTCCCACATGCCAGGAACTAAACCAAGTGATGTCCACACACTACTACTACACATAAGGCTACTACTACACATAGGTAGCAGTAGCGCGAGGGCCACACCCGTGCTACAGCAAAGTATTCGCAGCGCATGTGGCCCCCGCACTACTACTACCGTATTGGCTGTAACGCGGTAGTAGTAGCGCGGACACCTGCACTACTATTAGCCATTTAACCCGCGCCACATCTAGGCATTTTCCTAGCAGTGCTGGAACTCAACCAAGTAATGATCAATGACTATAACCTCACGGAGCTCTTTGTTTGAGCTTTTGTGAAGATGCGGTGGAGTGAGGAGGGGAAAAATGAGGAAAGTTAGGCCATGTGGGCAAAACTAAGTAGTACTAAGGAACCAGGGGTACGAAATAGAAAACCCAAGTAAAAATAGAGGAGGAAAAAAATGAAATTATAAATAAGACTATAAAATATTATATATATATATATATATATATATATATATATATTTAAAATAAAGTAAAATAGGAAAGGAAAGGCAATGGATAAATAATAAATTAGTGAATTCAAGTTTTTACCCCTACTTTATCATTTTTACTCTAGTTTTGACCCATGCTTTATCATTTCAAAAGGGGTAAAAATTGTCAAACTTTTACTTACTAGGGTGACCCCATTTAAAAAATTGCTAAAGGGTAAAAACTTGGAAATTCATAAATATGTAATAGAAATAAGGTTATAAAAAGTAAAGAAGAAAAGAAAAAGATAGAATAAAGCAAAAAGCTAAAGTAAATATAGATCTGGCTCAGGGCAGGAGAGTCCTTGGCTAAAGCCTAACACAAAAGGAAAAGAAGAAAAAGAAAAAAAGAAAAGGAAAAAAAGCAGAAAAAGAAACACTGTTGAGCAGCCCAACGTACAACATCGACCGTTGAGCCCGCCGGGTCCTTTAATTTGCTCCCAGGCGGCGCCCCGCTATCGCTGTAGGACGTACCCATACTCTGCGTACGAGTATATATATATGTAAGTTGAGCTTAGCGCAGCGCATGCATGCTTTTACTCTTGACAGACGTGAAGAATGGGTAGGCTGGGCCAGAGATACGACTCCGAATGGGAGGAAGTAAAGCTTATCAATGGCTATGCCATGCTTCTGGCATACACGTTGTTCGCAATCAGGGGCATAGGCTTCCTGGTGTTTACATGGAGCACGGTGGTTCTTCTCGGTGGCTTCGTCTCTATGATAGACAAGGTGGATTTTGGGCGTCTCACTCTGATTACCCTCATACAGATACTCTGGTCAGTATCATCTCTTCTCGTATAATACATCTTTACTATAGTGCTTACTTTCCCCATAATTAAGTTGGTCCGTTGATTTTTTCTATATACTTCCCTCGTTTTTATTTACTCTGTACATCAAACATATGCATATGCATGATCGGTTATTTTTAATCCCGTTGTCTAGCTTCCTTCAGTCTACATGTTCTTTTTTAGGGTCCTTCAGTCTACATGTTCGTAGGGTTTAGATCCTTGTGTCCTAACTCGGCTTCCTAGGTGAGATGGAGATCTTTATGCCCTAACGCAATCCCACGCCACTTTTACTTGTTCTAACGCTCAAAATAGACGATTTGAGGCTTTTAAGATGTGACTTTTTTTACGAAAAATATCAGATCTATTATAAAAATTCATCGAAAGTACAAAGCATCCCAAACATAATAAAAATTACATCAAGGTTCATGGATAACCAAACGACCATTGTGGCCGCCGGAACGGGCCATTGACAAGCCGTTGTCGCCGCTCCCATACTGGAGCCGGCCTAACCTTATTGATAACGGTCGGAAAGTCTTCGTGCATGTGCCCAGAGCCGGTCCTGAGATTTCAGGGGGCCAGGGCGAAACTACAGTCCGAGGCCCTTCGGGACCCTTAGTATAAATGTCTAACTAGTAATAATCATACGTAGATATAATTGTATCAAAGAAAACATTTAAGCAAAATCAGTATGCATATCACATAATGTATAACATATTACCTTCAAAAATGTCTCCTAACATTCTGAGATGCAAAATCGCTAATGATTGTATCAATATCAGTTTCATCAAACATTTTTTTCTCAATGCATCAAGTTGCCAAGCCATTTAACATCTCTCGCAGCATTGTAGATCTCACCTAGTTCTTCAATAATTTCAACTTTCTGAAACTGAACAGTTACCTTGCTGAAATTGAAAGGAACAATTAGCTTTTAAAATTAGCACAAAGCTAATTAACACATTAGATTAATTATAGAAGACATTCATCTAATATTATCATGACATAATTTGCTAGGGCATAATATAGTGCCTTATCTCTGTAATCTAATTCTAATCTGGCTATGTGTGCTAAATCCTCAATGATTTGATCGCCCAGCCAACAATTCCCTATTGACCAGTTGATTATGGAATCAGCAAAGACACATAGCCAGATTGGATTATAGAGATAAGGTACTTACCATATTATGCCCTAGCAAATTTCAGGAATCAGCAATTCAGCATTAGAAAAAAAAACAGGAAGAATAACACTAGAACAGGCGAGGGCAGATGACAGAGCCGCATACGGCGCAAGGAGAGACGTACCAGTTGCCTGCTCATCAGAGGCCGGAGAGACGCACAGTTGAAGACGGCGATTAGACGAACTAGTAGACTGCCCGTGCGTTGCCACGGGCTTTTCATATTTTGTATTGGTTGCATGTAAAATTTCATATAGATAGAAAATATAGCCAAAATAATTGTAATGTAGTTCGCTTGCAATGTAGTTCGCTTGCAATGTATTTCGATAATAAAATGTAACTCTACCCTATACACAAAAGGGTTATCATATCTGATGCACAAAATAAAGGTGGTACACAAACATTGACCTCTTTATTGTGCATTGCATTACAAATGATAATAACACTTGAATGTTTTTTTATGCTTAAGATGAATTGTCTCGTGAAAGCGTGTGCATTGCTATTCTCCATTAATTAAAATTAACACATGGATGATTTTGTTCTCTTTTAAAAAATGTTCCAAGAAGTTACAACCAGAAACTTAATTGCAATGTGCAATTGGCTGGCAAACTATTGCATATGAACTTAGGCACTTGAAACCATACAATTTACCATTTAGAAACTGCTGCAGCAAAACACATCTTCTAGAACATGCTACTCCCAGCTATCTTGGGAGAGGTAGATACATCAATCTTTGATAACATTTGTTGATTAAAAATTTATTGGCATTTATTTATATTTTATAGTAATTTTTAGTTTTGTTAGAATTATGTAACTTCAGATTTGGTGTATCGGCTCAAAATGAAATTCACATAAGACTCAAAAGGAAATGTGTGTGTTGTACTACGAACTATGATGTAAAGGGAAGCGACCAACTCCTATTCAAATACCAACCGAAGAAAAACCCTAATTATACATACACTAAGACATTAAAATCAAAAATAAGGGTGAAAGGGCGATTGACATGCAGCATCAATTGTGAATAAGCAGGTTAAAACTTGCCCAGAGAATATTGCTCACGACTCACAAGTTTACAACATACTTTTTTCTGTATTAGCACAAAAGTCGAATAATACATGGTAGGATTGAGGAGGAGGAGGTCTATAATATTAGTCTTATCGATTGTTCATTATTCTATTAGCAACTAAGAGAGGGGGGGGAGGTAGGGAGGGAGAGAGAATCGGATCTCTAAATTGTCTCCATGTGTCTACGCTATCTGAAAACCGCCATATGTGAGATGTAATGGGGTCAGGACGTCTCAGGGCAGCACGCTAGATCAGGCCGGATCACATCATGCTGGAAAAAAATATATAGTTTTCTAAAATATTGCAAGGCATCCTGAAGATATCGACGTTACAAGTTGCTACGAGCTTAAATGCTTAAAACAATCAACCGAAAATACCAACATACTTCTCCATTTTGAGCTAGTCCACCTAATGAGGACTTCTTCATTAATACCCACAATCGTTCCAGATAGCCAATAGGAGATAAAAGTTAGTAAATGTTGTACTCCCTCTGTTCCTAAATATAAGTCTTTTTTGAAAGTTCAATAAGGACTACAAACAGATGTATATAGACATATTTTAAAGTGTAGATTCATTCATTTTGCTCTGTATGTAATTCACATTGGAGTCTCTGGGAAGACTTATATTTAGGAACGGAGGGAGTACAAATAATAATTTCAGTTGAGTTGAAAGACTTCAATTAAAAACCAACAAATATATGCAGGGTTATTTTATACTATTATTTTAATAGGCACCAATAACGTCCTTTTCAGCATCATAATATATAATCCAAAATCATATTAACAATTTCGGGGTAACTTTATACTACTTATGAGTATAAATAATATGATTAATTAACAAATCTTGGATTGTAATAGATCTGAAAAAACATTTATATGTTCCAAAGAGTCAGATGGTGTGAGTATCGTCTGAAAGCTTTCTGGATAAATAAGGATATAGGGAGTTGTTAAGTTTAAGAAAACAGAATGGCTCTCCTTACACAAAGTCTAAGTTCACCACCGTTAGATTTATAAATGGGGAAAAGACGCTATGAATAAGAGAAACAACAAATAAAGATAGAAAGGTGTTAAGTTCACCACACTCTTTATTTGCTTACTGGGTTGAGTAGGTAACAATATGTTTTAGAAGATGATGACTTCCTAATACTTTAGCACATAACTGTACTCTACTGAACCGTGGGGAGCGAATCGGAGGTATAGTAGAAGAATGAACAAATAGATTTTATTTATATTATCCACACCCTACATGTACAACTCTGAGAAGCTCCTCGTGAAACAAGCTTACAACAGTGAGCATTGAACAATCATACTCTCTTCTTGCTAGCCGGTGCTGAGAACACTTGTGCAGCAATTAGTATATCAATGTCCTCGTAGATAGGTTGATGAAGATTGCCAGCAATGAAAATATCATCCAGTTCATAGGCCTGAAAATTTCACCATTGGCACTCATGGGAATTAGTTAGTACTAAAAAGAATGGTATAGCTCTCGCAAGAAATTACATACAACTCCATTGCTGGTTCTTCAATGTCAAAATTTCAGCATATATGTGAACATTAAAAAGACTTCACATACCTAAATAAATTATGAAAAACACTCATGCTGCAATGCGTCTCCCGTGTCCTCGTCAGTTTTGACGCACCTACCACGTACTTGCAGCTTGGGGCGCGACCCCTACATCCTTGGTGGCGGCCACAGCGCCCACATACACCTACATCCACGCTTCGGCAGGAACCATATAACAAAAAATATATTGTGGACCAAATGTTCATGGAATTTTGCAGTATGATATAGACTACAAATGGGTATATGATAGGCAAATCTTATTCCTCATACATC